CATATTTATATAATTAATTTAAAAAAAATTTTTTTTAAAAATATTAATTATTTATAAAAGTAAATCAGAAGAGAATTTATAGTAAATAAGCAGATAAATTTGCCTGCAAAACCCTACATAAGTTTTTATAAATTTATAAATATTAAATTTATAATAAAATTATATTAATTATAATAATAAAAAGTTTTGATTATAATATTTTACAAATATTTAATGTAAAAATAATAATAATAAGAATTAAATTAAATATTTAGATCTTACTAATTGTAATAAAATAATAAATATTTCTTTAAAACTGCAGATATTATAACAACGAAACTCAAAATAAATGGCTCGAAGTAAAATTATTGTTTTTCTGTAATTCAGTTTCTATTGCAAAACACCCATAAATAATATAAATTTAAAATGCGTAAATTAATAGATTTATTACTAAATAAAGAAAAATCAGAATTTTATATAAATGCATTTACATGCATTTTAGAAAAGAATCATTAATTTATGCGTTAAGATCATTACAGATTTCACAGCTTCAATTTTATAAATTACGCAACTAAAAAAAAAAAAATTCAAAAAAAAATTCTCGGAACATATTTTGTGTTTTTAACTTTTTTTTCTTTCGACTTGCTCTGTCTCTCTTGCCTCTCTCTCTCTTTTGTTCAAATTTTATTTTGGTAAATATATATAATTTGCGAAAAAAAAAATAAAATAAAAAATAATAATAATGAAACGGAAATTTTTTTTTTTAAGAGAAAACCAAAAAAAAAGAAATATATATATTATTAATATAAGAAAAATTGGAAATGAAAGTATGAAAAGGGAGGGAGAAGGAAAAAAAGAAAACGGAATAGATTTATTTTAAATTTTAAATTGTATTATTAAATGAAGAGAATGTATTAAAAAAAACCAGCTAAATCATGAATAAGGAAACAAAAAAAACAAAAAAAAAAAAAATATAATGAAAAAGTAAAAATAAAAATAATAAATTCTTATATGGTGTATGTACAACAGCCCTCTCGAAATAAATGTTTTTTTTTTTTTTTTTTTTTTTGTTAAAGTAAAACCAAACTGGTTTTTTTTTGTGCTTTTTTTGTGATTTTTTTTCGCGTTTTTACTCTTTTTTTTTGTGGATTTTTTTGATTTTTTCTCTATATTGATTTTTTGACCAAGGAAAATAAAAAAAAAATAAAAAAAACAAATCCCAACTAGAGTAAAACAAGAAATTGCAAATATTTAGATTAATATGCAACTTACAATAAAAGAAAGATGAAATATCCTGACCATATACTGTCTATCCAGTAGACCCATATAGAATACTGTCCCAAAAAATTGGAAATGAACGGGAAAAAGGACAACAGGAACCAAGGATATATGTATATTATATTTATAAACCAATACCAACCCAAAATGAGATAATGATAAATAAGGCAAAAGAAAAAAAAAAGTTCGGTCGCCAACACCCAACTTAGTGGGTTTCTTCAACTTTTATTTAATAAGGCTCAAAGCAAGCAAACGTATGCTCTATGTTTGAATGCCGGTGTTAATTTGCGGTTGTTTATGGTTTCTTTGACGGCAATGGTCGGCTCAAAGAGGTCCTTGCTTTCATGGTGGAGGATGAGGCCTGGGCATTGACTACAGGTCTAGATGTCTTTGGTCGAGTGGATTTTGATGCGGGATCGTCATTTTTGCGGATTTGTTCCATAATAGTAGTCAAGTCGCTAGATCTTTTCACAGATGATGATTTCTTGGTCTCACGGTCACTATCACTGGATACTGGATCTGTAAGTTTCTTCTTTGAGGACCCATTTTCGGTGGTGGTGGCACGTTTTTGTGCAAGCGTTGATCTATTTTTTCTATCAGGAGCTACGCCACTTAGCATATGATTCAATACTTCCATATCACGTTTTCTTTGAGTGACAGCAGACCGATTAATAGGACTAGATTCTTTATTTGATGTGATTGTGTCTCTTCTCTTTTTAAGGACATCGACAGTGTTAACCGTAGAAGGAAGTCTTGGTTTGGCATCCCTCTTTGGAATTGGAGCAAGATTACTACTTCTTCTTTGATCAAGTGAAGAGGTTGATGTAGATGATCTAGATCTAGCTAAAGCAACTCGTGGACTTTCTGACATCCTTCTAGATACCGAGGACAAAGTTGATCTATTTTTCAACGGACTAGTATCGATACCGCTAAGGCTAGCGGCTTTGCGGATGCGTGGTCCACCGTTCTTTGCAGCTTCATCGCTGCTACTTTCACCACCGCTGGCACTATACATGGACGAAACCCTGGATCTTGGACCCTTGGTGGGAGCGGATCTAACGGAGGCAGCTGGAGTTTTTTTGGGGTTAGGTTTGGGAATTTTAGATTTTATCAAAACCAATTCCTGTTCCTTTTCTTCCATTTTTTGCTTTAACTCGGTAACTTCTTCCTTCAATTGACGGTTCATTTTTACAAGTCTAGTGATTTTAATCTCTTTTTCTGAACTAGCCGATCTGGTTTCTTCAAATTGCGTTTTCAATACGTCAAAATCCTTTTCCAAGTCCACGATCTTCTTTTCATAATCTCTGCAGGCCTCGATCTTATTGTTCAAAACTTTCTGCAACGCATTTAATCGAACCTCATTTTTACTAATCTTTGTTTCCTTTTCGTTTGAGTCGCTTCGGGAAGCATTTTTTAAACTTTCTAAATGTTGTTCAAATTGCTGAATCCTTTGATCCTTTTCAGATAAAGCATGAAGAAGGCCTTGATAATTTGATCGCATATGGGCAGTTTCATCCCTGAGGGTCGTAAGGAGTCTTTCTTTCTCACGAGTTTCAGTGGATTGAACCGTGAATGCTTGTCTGAGCTGAGATATTTCTTGACGTAATGCGGAGATGGTTTGTTCTTGGGATCTAAGCTGATCTTGGCCATCTTGGGAATTCCTTGAAGCTTCTTTATATCTCTTTTCTAATTCGACAAGCTGTCTTTCCTTTTGAGAAAGTTTAGTTTGAATGTCATAAGCAGCATCTTCAGCAGCTTCAGCTTTTTTCTTTAAAGGATCGATTTGAGCGGTTTGCTCCTTTAGCTTCTCTACTTGTCTTTTCTCCTCAGATAAGCTCACAGTTAGGGCGGAAATATCGTCATCTTTATCTTTCATATCCGAATCAATGGTTTCAACCTGTTGTGTGAGAGTATCGATTATATAGTCTTTTTGTCTAAGTTGTCTCAAAAGATCATGTGGGGCATGTTTCTCCCTTAGTTCGGCAATTACTTTTTGTGAAGTGTCAAGGCGAATATTGAGAGTTTCAATTAAAGCGTCCTTTTCATTAAGTTCAAATTCTCGCTTTCTGAGGATTTCTATTTGAGTAATCAAGGAATCAAGTGTCTTTTGTTTATCTTGCCATTCACTCTCAAGTGACTGATATTTCAATAGCTGATTAGATATCAACTCAAGTCTCTTTTCTTTCTCTTTTGATTCAACAGCTTGCCTATTTGAGATCTGTATTTTTTTATTAAGCTCATTAATCAATACATTTTTTTCTTCCAATTCTTGTTCTAAAGTTCGGAGGTTTTCGGCTAGTTCAGGGTCAGGTGATTGTCCTCGAGCCAGGCAACCAAGTTGTTCTACCTGTTCTACCAACTCATTTATAGCCCTCTTTGCGGCTTCAAGTTGACTTTCTAAACGTTCAACCTCAATACGTTTTTTCTTTAAATCTTTTCCGCTTTTCTTCAAAGAATTTTCAAGTTGTTCTATCAACCTATTTTTTCCTCGAAGTTGCTCTTTGTATTTTTGTTCCATGTCATCCAATTGAACGGCTAGCATTTGAATTTCATTCTCAATCTCACCATTATTACTTGACTGTTGATAAGAGTCCATACTATCATCAGAATCCATATCGTAATCACTACTTTGTCCGTCACTTCTGACCTCATCAGATAGCCTATCGAGTTTCTTGTTGTTTTCTCTAACAAAAGAAACCGTTGTGGCCAATACTTCAGCAACGTCAATGTATGGATTCGGAGCTGTTTGACGGGGGGAGATTGAACGGTTAGAATGGTTAAAACTAATACTGCGCTTTAATTGTTTTTTTGAAAGTTCTGCGGTATATTTATGGGAATGTTTTTTATCGTGATTTATGTAAGCTGAAGCCAGCACAGCGGCAGCATCTGCAGGGGTGACAACTTTGGTTGGATGTGGCATTGAGTTGTAGTTGATACCCTTTGGAGGTTTTTCATCGGGTGTAAAGGAATGGCGTCGGATACGCGTCGGTGTTGACATAGGTGGTGAGGATTTTTTGGTATACGACCCGGGTGTTGACAGCCTAGGCGAATTTGTTTGGATTATGGAATTATCTTAAAAAAATGAAAATAAAATAAATTAGGAATAGTTCATCGCATAAACAAGTGTTTTTTGAAAAAGAGAATATCAAAATCCGTTAGGTTAAAATAACAAATTCGACGTGGAATGGGGGAAGAGAAAAGATAATTCTGGGGAAGAAATTATACTATATATTTCTCAAAAAAATCAAGTAGCTTCATTCATTTGTAATCTTTTTTTAAAAGGAAATTGAACTCACCACCGTTCTCGCGCTCATCTCCTGCTTCTTTATTGGTAAGCACAGCTGTTTTATACTGCTCTTCGTTACCGTTAAAACGCAGCATTTGGAAAGGATTTACCTGAAGAGATTTTTTTGTACTGGGTTGAGTTCGTTTGTTTTTTTTTTGTTTTACAACCTACAATTTTTGAAAGGCGAAAGAAAGAAGAAAAATAAAATAAAATTTTTACCCAAAAGTTGACACTGGAATCTGCCATTGTTAGGCTGTGATGTGGGGAGAGAGAGGGAGAGAGAGGGAGAGAGAGAGAAGAAAAAGAAGAAAAGAAAGAAAAGAAAAGAAGAAGCGGGTTTCATCAGTTTTGTTGTCGGGGAGGGAATTTTAGGATTTAAGGGTAAGTGCACTCTGACCATCTAACTTACCTGTATTTGAAAATACACAATCAGAAGGTTTCGGGTAATTCGATCTTGATGAGAATGACAGAGAGTATATGCTCGAACGGTGGTAATCCAAGATCACAGTCTGTGCCTGTCAAACGCGTTGTTTGTTTGTTAATAATAACAAGTAGTAAAACCCCTTCTCTTTGTCCTGCCTAAAAGTTGAAGTGACGTCAGATAATTGAATAATCCAATAAAATTTTTTTATTTAGGTCCAAGCTCGGCGGGCTGATTTGTGACACTGCATAAAAGTTGGATAATGATCCAATTAGAAAGAAATTATCTTAACCTCGTTGGTTCAATCAACTTCTAAGCGACCGTGATAAGTTACCTTTTTTTTTTGTTCTAAAGAATTTTTAGACTAGGTGTATTGTAAAGAATGACAAATAACATAAAAAAAAAAAAAAGAAAAAAAAAAGTTTTTACGTTAAAAGAGAGAAAAAAAAAAGAAAATAGAAAATAAAAAGAAATAGGGAGAGAAAAAAAATTTTGTTTAGGCAACAGCAAATTTTTTATCATTTAAAAGCAAAAACAAAACGACATTAGGATTGATTTGAGAATTTTCCTTTTTGCCGTTTGCCATACCAGAACACAGAAACACAACATACAAAAAAGACTTACTTTTTTTCTTTTTTTTCCTTTTTTCCTCCTTTTTTATTTTTTTTCTTCTCTAGACTAATTATATTACTATATTAATGATTATTAATAAATTCGTTCAACTATATAATATATATATGTGTATTGTAATGTGTTTTTTTTTTGATCGTTAATAAGGATCTGAAATGGTTATAATATATAATAATTAATTACAATCGTCCTTTTTTTAACAATCCAACTAAATTAGCAGATTTTGAATGCTGCCTGCAGACCCGTTATAATTTAGTAAATTTTTTTTTTTTTGTGAATCAAAAACGGTTCATCCGTCTTGGTTAACAAAACAAGAAAAAATTAGTTACTTTATTATTGATGTAAAAAAAATTTTTTTTTTTTTAGTTGCGCCCTTTTGGGAAAAATTTTATAAGGATTATAAAATAATGATGATTTTTTTTCAATCCACGAGAAAATGAAATAACGTGGAAGCAACCAGGCTAGATGAAGTTTGGATGGTTTAATATAAAAAAAGTAAAGTAAAATAAAAAATAAAAAAAGAGGAAAAGGAAAAGGAAAAGAAAAAAAAATCAAGAGGAATGAGAGAAAAGAGGATGAGGTATGTATATATCAAAGATTTTCAAAATCAAAAAAAAAAAAATTTAAATTTAAATTTAAAATTCGGTTGAGGACGGATGCCGTGTCCTCGTTCTCTTCTACCTTCTTTGTCCCATTTTTCCTTTCACACACCATTATTATATATTTTTTTAGTTGTTGTTTACATGGTGCACAGGAACCAACGTGTAATAAAATTTGTGGATTATGATGAGGGGGTGAAGCGCAGAGGAACGCAGATGTTGTTTTAACGACACCGCCTCAGCTCGAATTTGCCCAAATTCCATTCGAATCCTTCCCAAACTCGGGTAAAGGTAACATAAATAAATGCATAAATCCGGCAAAACTTAACCAGAAAGAGTTAATAATAAAGTGCGAATAAATGATAAAATACAAGATGTTTGAACATTTTTATAATGGAAGCATAACGCCTTGATTATTATCATTCTGTGTAAGAATTGTGATTAATTCCACTTGCCTGATTAATCTTTAATGTTGTTGATTTCTTTTATTTAACAGGAGAATTGAATGAGATGATTATATTGGTGTTATATTACAATACATTTAGTGTTCGTACAAGTTTTAGGATCATAATCATGTTATAAATAAATAATATGATATCAGAAACACTTGAATTGAAAGGAATGTTCACAAGGTGAATATGATGATAGTGATCGTCATACGCTTATGATAAAAATAAACAACCTTTACTTTCTTGTTTCTTCTTTTCAGCAAATTAGATTTCTTTGGTTGCTCACTTTTTTAAGCCCCCTGCAGTCTTTTGGAACTTCGTTGCTCTTGATGATCATATTTTACTGTTTATTTGAAACATAAAATAAATAAATTATTTCATTTATATGGTTAACCATTCATTTGGTATTTCCCTTGTCTTTAAATAATCATAATAATAAATATTATTAAATAATCGTTTTAAATTAAAATATATATTATGTATACTCATGTATTTATATATTTTTAAGAGAACACAACTTCAATATTTGTAATATGAAAAAAAAAATTCTTGTGTTTAATCAAGATAAATTATTATATTCATTTTAGGTAAATTTCGAATGGTCAATCATGTGATATAACCAAAGTATTGTTGAATAATTAGTATTGTTAATCGATCATTTATGCCAATAGGTACAAAATGTATTACAGTTTAAGCTAATGATTGAACACAAATTACAAATTGGTATTTCAAAACATTGCTGCAAATTTGTTTATAAAGATATGTAATTTTTTTTTTATAATTACAAGATATTAATAATAGAATTATCCGTGGTTAATATTTACTATACAATTAAGTTGAGTTTGTAATTTACAAAAGAATTCGTTAACCTCTTGAAGCACCTTTCTTATGACCATAAATACTAGATCCTTGTCTTTTATGATGATGATTTGCATCTCCTTCGCTGTTTCTTCTTCTACCCCTTCCCAACATGCTCATTCTTTTCACCATCCCTTTAACAACGTCACTGGTTGCGCTAATCGTGGGATTAAATTGTGATACTTCATCCGGTTTGGATATACGATATAACATCCTTGCCATATCTTTATAACCCATATCGGTCGCTATCCTAATCGCCAACTTATCATCACAATTCACGTCGGCACCATAATTGAGCAACAATCGGACCATTTCGTAATCATGATTGGTCACGCATAATGCTAATGGTCTACCATCATCAGCGTTTGGATCAGATCCTGATATCAAGAATAATTCGATCATCTCCCGTCTTGCTTGTTTATTTCCTTCCTCGTTAGCGTATGCGAAAAAACATTGAATAGAAAACTCTAAAAGGCTAGTGGACCCATAACTGGTAGGATCATCCGTGTGCGCTGATGGTGATATGTTAATGTTGGCCCCACTCTCTATGATCTTTCTTGCCGATTCAACGTCAGCTTTCTCAATGCACATTCGAAGGTACAAAGGTTTTTGTTTTTGCATCTCTCCAACTCCATGTTTAAACGCCCATGCGATCCCTTCCGTATACTGCCTGTCAACACTTTCTTCCAATATATCCAAAGTATGTTGTGGATGATTCGATAAAACGGTTGCAACGTCAAGCCTTTCATATAGAACGATCGCAAATGCCAAATCTGTATCCGAAAAGTACGTTTTCGTTAATTCAAGTTTTCTCATAAATTTTCTTGACGTTTGAGCCGCTATGATTAATGGTGAGAGATAATCCTTTTTTAATTTGCGTTCCGGTTCTGATCCTCCTTCGGTCCTTTCAAAATCTTTTGATGCATGATCTTTAATATATTTATCAATATTTAAATCCCTCGATATTAGAAATGTAATTAATTTCTCCCTTTCTTCATGTATGAAAGCTTCTTCAAATAATTTGGATACACTACCCCCAAATGATGATGCAAGTGGTTGGTTATATAATCTTTGTAGATCGATGATTTGTACTAATATATAAAATGGTGTTTTGGTTTTAACCGCTTGACATAGTTCAGAATACTTTGGTAAGAATGCATCCGGTAATCTTGGATGAAGCCAAAGTCGAAGCCAACGTCGTTTAAAACTTGATGATTTCGAAACGATCTCATGAAACAATCTACAAACAGGTGAAACTGTATAAGGAATCGGCAGATAAATTAATATATATTCCACAAGTTCCGGAATAATGGTTTGAATGGATAACGAAGCGATAGTCTTAGGATTATTATTATAATCTTGATTATGTAACGTTAAGTCATTCATTCGATTTTCTATATCATTTGTATGAAGCATGATTTCTATATATATTATTGTGGTTGTAAAAAGGATTTTTTTTTTAAAAAAAATGATTTTTTTATAATTATGTTTTTAAAAAAAAAGAAAGCAAAAAAAAAAAATGAAAATGAAAAAAAAAGGTTTTATTTATTTATTTTATATATGTTAATAAAATACATTTAATATTAATAAAAAAGAAACAAGGGGATGAAAATATTTATCCACATTTTTTTAATGCCGCCAAGAACACCAATCAGTTTGGAGCTTAGCTATTTCCAGATATAGTATGACACATTTATTGGATTTTTTTGACATTAAACAGCATGCAGGTTCAAAAAATGGCACAAATCTTTAGATTTACAAATCAATGTAAAAATTGCTTTCTAATAAAAGTTAATTTTGTAAATCACCTTTGAAAATAAAGTTCTTTTAATCCCTAAAATTTAGAATGATCGTCATTACATATTCTCCAATTTTAGAATAATTAGCATGAGTAAGAGTCGTGTAATATTAACTGTACAATTCTGCAAACATTTTTGTACAACACTAACGAATTATAATGTTTATTATATATAATAGTTAAAATAATCAAATAATATATTTTTTTTGTATCACAGAATATACTACAACTAAGAGATTATTAATAAAAGAAATATATCGTACACTTGGGGTATAATATATATATATTTATGTTTTCATAATTGTTCGCATCCAACCTTTAAGCAATATCATCATTATTTTCATCGTTGCTAACCACGTCATTTTCAATTTTTTCAACTACCTCAAAACCGTCGTCACATTTTTGATGTGTCAATTGACCAAGCAATGAATTCATCTTATTAACTACTTTTGCCAATTCTTCAGATTGTCCAAGCTCACTTTTAACTTGTTCGGAATCTATTTCTTTTAAGCTATCTAAATAGGCTTGCCTAAGAGGATCATCAACTGGTAGAAAATTGTCGGATAATGCAAGTACTAAAACTTGAAGGATCTATGAGGATAAAAAATTATTAATTGATTAGCCTTACAAACAAATTGTATGAAATATATAGGTTCATAAGAGAAAAAACTTACCATAACGAGTTCTTGAATAATTTCATTAATTGTAGCTAAATCTTTAGCTTCAATTTTCTCTTTTAGGACTTTCGCATTAGCTGCAAGTTGTTGAATATGTTTCAAAACTATTGGTTGAATCACATCCGGTTTACTTGACTTTACCTAAATATAAAAAAAAATTTTAATTGGAACGAAGTTATATTAAAACATTAGAATAAAATATCTTACAATGTGGATCAATGATTTGAATAACTTCAATTTTTCTGGCGAAAGGTTCAAGATTAAACGTGAATCCGAATTCAAAATACGTTCAACCAACGTTGCAAAATATATATTGCGATAAGCGTTTATGACAATCTCTTTGTTAGAGTTCTTTTCATATAGATTTAATAGTACATTAATTATATAGTCATCTTTATTTTCCATCTCTAGGAAAATCAACGAACCTGAAATGATATAATTCCAGTTTAATAAAATAATAATAATAATAATAATTGAATGAAAGTCTCGATATTTAACTTACATAATTGAACAACTTTGTCATATTCTTTTAATTCTATTGCAGCATCAATCAGTTTCTTGATGAACATCAAATAAGGTTTATATATATTTTGATGTAGTCGAAGTAAATCCTCAGTTCGTAGTTTGGTTAGGAATGGCCTATAAACGTGAACTGAAGGCCCAGATGGTGTCAAAACACTGTAAGTGTCAGAATCGTCGTCAACTAGCTTAAGTTCCGTAAAAATCGATCGGATTCCTCCAAACTTCAACTGTAATTCTATTATATAATAGATGATTAGGGCAAATATACGGATAAAGAAATAAATTTTGGGAAATTATATTACCTTCTTGAGTAACATTAGATAATCCGCGTTGCCAATCTGAATGCTTTTCGATAAGTATTTGCATAATGCCATTTGAGAGGTCCATGGTAGATTTCATTGAAACGAATTTACAAAGAATTTCTATAACGCAAGTTAAAATGTTATTTAGTAATAAAAAATTAATATTACAAAGACGATGAAATTTGAACTCACCTAACACTTTCACATAGACTGAATTATCTATGTTCGGGTGAAGGAACGTCAAGATACTGAACACAAAATCTGATAATGTCTTCCAATTTTTTAAGTGGTCATGGATACCTATTAATAGTTTTATTGTTACAATTAGAATTAAAATCTCTGTCATTAAGAAACATGACATCGAATTGAATAAGAATTCTACCTTCTTCAGATTGATATAATAAAGCGATACCCAAGTTAATGTTCAAAGCCTCCAGACATTTGCGAATATTTTCATCACTGGGGTGTTTGTCTTTAACAGCTTGAATATACTATTCAAATATAATAAATTATTACTTTAAAAGCTATTACAACCTAATCGATAAAAACATATAAAATAGCTACCTGTGGTAAAATATCAAATCCATGATATTTACAGAATGAATAAAAATCTTCAATAGAATCTCTGTTTAAATACTGGACAAGTCTGAAAATATGTAGGAATAATTAGTTTACACACCCATTATCAAAACATGATATCAACCTGATTGAACATACCTTAAAATTTGATTAACTTTACGTGGTAATGTTGCAGTGTTAACTAATGTTGGGAATACATGTTCCCAAACTTTCGATCTAAACATTGACGATTCGTCAGCACTGAATTTCATCAACTCGAGCAATTCATCAGTTTTCTTGAAAAGAGGAAATAATAAATTTTTATTTTTTGATATAAAAATTTTTTACAAAGAAACATTACATAAACTTACATGATCATCGAAATCACCGAATATCATGCTACTGAGTGCCCAATAATAATTTGGTGCGTCCATCCATTTTTTATGATATTCACGCGAACGGCGACAGCCCATCGAGAGCAATCCATAATATTTTGGAAGAGTTGTCTGATTATAATTAATATTCTCTTGTGTATGATTGATACTTAATATTATTTTTTAAAAAAAAAAAAAAATATGAAAATGAAATTAAAAAATAAAGATAATAATTTTATCAGATATCCAAAATAAAAAAGTGAACAAACATGAAGTAAGTATATTTATTACCTAACATAATACATATGAAGTTGGTTGGTCAAATTTTCATTTGTTATGAATATATCCACATTTTGTGTAAAATTTTCACAAACAGTATACCAAAACGTGATTATTTCCTAAAGATTAAAAAGAATTATTGAACTCATTCATTCAAGCAATTTCTCTATATATTTACAAACCTTTTTGTCTATATCACAATCTATCCTGGCAGAATCTACTGCAATGAAAATAGAACTGAACCTATCATAAGATGCTTGGAACTTTTTTAAAATATAAATATTAAAATACATTAGCAAGTTGAAATAAACAAAAAAAAATGAATTCCAATCTTATTACCATTTGTTTTTCTTTTTGTGATCTCAAACATTTTGTCATGCACCTAAAAATATTACTTAATCTCCATCCATAAGGCTCAGCTAATCAAAAAAAAAAAAATATTCGAGCTTAAGATAACTTGAATTTTATTATTTAATGTATTTATTCATCAAAACAATCAGCTTAGTACCTCCTCTCCTATTGTGTGTCGCTTTCCAATTTTGTTCAAAATTGTCCATATGCTTAAGCATCATGGTATAATGCTTTATCATTGATTTATATGCATCCTTTTGTGCTTGATCTCCTTGAGCTTCATCAAGTTTACGGAATATTAATAAAGAGAATAGATCTTCGGCACGTTGTCTAACTATTTCATAGGGACTTATCAGAAGATATTCAAGTAACCAATCATCCATGAAATTGAAGAACGCATGTTGTACATATGGTCCGACTGTAGAAGTACATAGTGCCTCAATTAAACCAAGACACTCGACTGCGATTTGCGGAGAATTCTGATTATTCTTTGCTAACTGAATATGTTGTTTAATATCCTTATGAGAATCACAACGATTAAAAGTTTTAATAGTATAGTACAAAAAAAATGTTTTAAGTTTTTACCTTCAAAATTTCTGTAATAATACATTCGATTCTAACGTGTGAAATTGAATCTTGGATCTGGGTCAATGAATATATAATTTCTAGGTGTGGTCGAATATGGTCAACTGTATAAGTATCAACTGCACGGATCAACTGATTTATAAATTCTTCAGAAACCTCCTCATTATTCAAAGCAAAATGCTGGAAAATTTCTCGAGATGAACCATTATCGGTAAGATCTCTAATTTGTTTCATAAAGAATATGTACTGATCTTCAGACTCATTACGTTCAAAAATTAATCCAGATTCGGATTCACTTAATCTTAATGGAGTTTGAATTCCTGTTAACGAGGAAACATCTCTTTCCCTTTCTAACTCCCTACCACTAGCTATATTTACTACATCACACGTTTTTAAGAGAGTACGTAAAGTCGTCAACAAATATCGGAAAGGGGGTAATGAAAATTTATCACCCATTCTCCGTTTACGAGATTTTAATGGAGATAATTCGTCCAATAAAAATAATTTAACTAATTCTCCAATAAATCCTCGCTTAATCATATAAATACGTTCTGCCATACCAGAGCAAGCAATATATGACAGTAGATAGAAATATTGTTCAAAGTTTCTCCACCACACGTGTGCAGAAGGTAATAAATAAAGCAACGACTCACATAATTGAACGATTAGACCTTTAGGGTTACAAATTTGAGCTTGAGTTGAATCTAAATTCATAGAAGAGTCTGGACTATCTTCATTGTCAATAATAACAGTTTGTATAGTTTGTAAACCGTAAGCTATTGGATCTCCGTTACGAAGAGTTCTCAAAACAAACGTGATCAAATCAACAATTTGTTCTCGAACATCTTGAATAAAACAAGACATAAGGATCTGTTGAATATAATATGGATTATTATCGATAAGTCGACCAATAAACCATTGACATCCAAGTAAATGTTTTTGAAATAAGATTTTAAGAAATTCCACCCAGTCCTTTAGTACGTGATTATCTTTTGCACGAGAAAGTATTCCGAGTACAAACTCAGTGGAGAGTTGAATTGTCCGAAGAATTAAATCAATTTCTTTACCATTCACAGTGACTTTAGATTTTTCATCGAAATTAACGGAATGAAGAACCGACCACATTAATTGAAAGTAACCCGGATCAAAAATGTTTTTATCCTGAAGGAAACCAATGTTTTCTTCCCAAATAGAACTATAAATATCGACAGGTACTTTGGTAATTTGGTCCTGCGATGTTGATTTTGACTCTAAAGTGTTTTGATCATTAACTCTTTCATAAAAAAGCATATATGCATTGTATTGTCTTGCAAACATTCTAGGAAGGTTCTTTTGTGAAGTTGGATCCCATTGCATTACGTATTCTGGTCCACCAAAGCATTGCTTAGGAATTTCTTTTGGATCAAATATCTCAACATTAGAATCATTAAATTGATACCATCTGCGCTCATAATTTATATCATTGTATAAAGGTTTCCTTTCCCTAATGAATGAATAATAATGACCGGAGTCCGCGGTACCGGTGTGTACTAATACTCCAACTAACTCATAATCAAATTGACCTTTGTTAATAACATCAAATTTCATATCGTCGAGTTGTTCTGATTCTTTCCTAATTAAATAGTCCAATGTATATGGTTCCATATTGATATTTGTTGGAAACTCAAAATATTCATTGATCTTGACACGTTTTAACAATTCCATGTCAAAATCAAATCGTTTCAAATGCATAATTAAATTTTTTGGAAGTTTCTTTATACAAGATCTATAATAAAGAATTAATGAGAAATAAATATACCAAAAAAATATTTTTTATTTTGATGAAATTAATAAATACCGTTTAATAGCATCAACAGGTTTGTTACATTTTGTGCAGAAATATTGATTGTCTAAGATATATTAAATTCAATTAATATAAATACTGAAAATTATTCGTCATAATGTATTAAAAAAGTAATATACCTCCATCTAATAATTCGCCTTCAACGTAAAGCTCCAAACTTTCTTCAACATTTTTCTTATTTTTTACCTCACAACTTATGGCGTAAAACGACTCTTCCTTTTCTGAAATGTGACCACAATCTCTTGATTTAATTTGTTGAACTAATGCGCCTCCAAAATGTTCTTTAAGTAGCATCGCTTGAGGGGTTCCTGAAACACTATTTTCCAATCGGTCAAAAAGTCCATTAAAATATTCATCAACATCCATTTGAAGTGCCACGTTTAATGGTTGACCGTCATAATCTTTATATGCGTGACAGAATTGAGTAGCTTCATAAGACTTTTTTTCGCTTTCTTGCAAATTACCAAAAACAACTTGTAGCTGATAGAGAAGACTTTCGTCTTTATTATCATCAAGAACCGGTGCAGTAAATAAGCTTTGTCGGAAAGAAGTGTTCATGTAAAACTGTTGTACAATTGAATTAACATAACAAGTAGCACCAAGGTTCTGTAATCCAACATAGCCAGCTGAGGCCTTTTGAGCTGTTCTGGGGCAATAATTCCAATTATCATTTAATTGTTCGCCTCTATCCAATTGCTTTAAGTATAATTCAGTTATACGTAGGAAGTTTTCAGGACAATCTTTTACAAGTTGATTCAAAAGTTCTAATGCGGCATTTCTTGAAACTTCGAGTTTACATTTTGGAGGTAAACATAAACCAGCGTGCTCAATGGTGGGAACTTGAAATAGACATTCGTGAAATATTAAATCGAGTAACCTGATTTTAAAAATATATGAAAATATAAAAGATCAATTGTAAATTAAATAAAAAAAAAAATATTCTATAAATCTTTACATACAAATCACCAGAATAACGTTTAAATTCTGGATGTTTAGATACAATGATCGTCATCAATTTAATTAAGCCAACAATTACGGTGTCCTCATTAGGAGAATTGAATTGCTATAATATTTAAAAAAAATATATAAATATATATTTTCGTTAAAATTTACATGACATTAAAAAAACTATAAAAAAATCAATTACTTCTTTAATTGGATGTTCCATAATTTGTCGTTTGATGTCATTATATAATGTCTGTAAGCTAACGCGAGCAGACTGTGTGAAAAAATGCATTAAATTTCCCATCAGCTCAAAATATTCTTTACTACTGTCAACATAATTTTCCACATCTGGCAAGAATGACCATAATAATGACAAGAACGATTCAAGAGAAGCAGGGATTTGGTCTGATACAGCAATCTCTGCAATGTCTTTACAAAATTGAAGCAACATTTGAGACACTAGATTTCTAGCTTCTTCAGATTCACACGCCACAAGTGCTGTTATTAACCATTCACGCAAATCAGAATATTCAACAAAACTAGCTAAAGCTGAAGCATCACGCAAACACAAGCACGATAAAAGTTTCATAGAATAACGAATGATCGTAAGATCTTCTCCAACTAAAACAAAGTTGTAAATAATTAGCAATTCTCGAAGAAAAAAAATATATATTAATGTTCGATATTTACCTTGTTTTTGAGAAGGATCTACACATTGTCTGATAATATTAATCAATTTTGCTATTAAAACTTTTGAATCTAGTTGTTGGAAAACGATAGAGCTCACAGACGAATTATCTAGAAAAAGAATTATAATTATTAATGTTATAAAGAACAAATTTCCATAATTTGATGAAAAGAGAAATAAATTTAACATACCAACTGCAAAGTAGCTTATAACCTTTAATAAAAGACCAAGGCATGCACGTTTAGTGACACTGTTTTGTTGGCTGTTTATTATATTCTCACAGTCATCATTTACAGAAGAATCTCGAATTATAAGTAATGATAATAAATAATCAAGTCCGCCGTTTTCTACAAAACGCATACTCCATTCAGGTCCACTTTGAGTTTCATCTCCATCTCTTAAAAGCCAATTTAAGATTTGCAAAGAATATAATAATCTAAACGGAGAACGATTAACAAATAGTTCTTGCCACTTCACTGGTGTTTCAAGAATTTTCAACGCTTCCATAGACTTCATGTGAGTAGGAAGTCGCATAAGAAGGTCCCATATCTTGTAAAACCATAATATAAAGTGAATAAACAATTTTATATTATATATAATGTGGAACATTTAAAAACAGACCTGTGATGAATAAGTTTCTTCAAGTTCTAGCATCAAGAAGAACTGATCAATGTATTTTGAAAGCATATTAATTGGTAGATCTGACTGTGTAATCTATGAAATATAAATAAAGTTAAAACATACATTGTAAACAATACAAGTTACAATCAAATAATATTTATAATATAATATATACCTCTTCAGTAGCAGTGTCTCCAGTTCTGTCAGAATCCAAACCATTCTTTACATCGGTGTTGCGCTTCATAGCCATAAAAGACTGACGATCAACAACTTTTAATTTTTTCAGTGTCATCCCGTTTTGGTCAGCATTTAATTCTTTTCCTGACGTGATTAACCTGATCATTCCAGGTCGAGTTGATCCCACACGTGAAGCAATTTTTTGTCTTAATGATAAAATGGTTTCAGTCGGATGAATTTGAATCTCGAAACCACGGCTTGCCTAGAAAACAATAATAATTAAATTATAAATTAAACCTAAAAATGACGAGAAAATTGTGTCTAACTTACGCCCGCGTGTGTTATTGTAACTTTTACGGTAATCATTTCTGCCTCATTAAGCATGCTATGTTTTCTCACGATGTTAAGATCCATTGGAGAATCACTGTATTTGGTATCAAATAAGTCCATGAAAGATTTCAACACTTCAAGGCACCTCTTGAATTTTAAAGCATTTGAAACTTGATTATCTAACGATGAAGTTTGGATTTCGTTAGACAAGACACCATCATTTTCCATCATATCTTGCCTATCTTCATTACGCGACATGGTAATGTCATTATTATCCATTGTTGAGAAGGCAAGAGATCGAGACAAACCGTTAGCAGCAGAAAAAAGGTGTAAAACACATTTGTCTACCAAAGCCTCGCGATGTTGGCGCGCAAGATTATTGTGGTTTTCCAATTTTTTATCCGTCTGAAGAGTAAATTCAGAGATCAACGATGTGTAACCACAACTCTGAACACAAAATCAATGAAAAATTGACAACAATGAGCCCTACACCCACATTCAAATATAAATAAACCAAAAAGACAATGGCTTCGTTGCCCACAGCTTCCTCTTCTGCGCGTAATGCAATGTCCCATATTAAGTCGATTCCAATAAGATCACCTTGTACAATAATGCTAAGCTGATTCTGTGATTGAGGATTAGGTGATGTCTAAAAATAAAATTAAAAATAATTATTTTACAATTAAACAAAATAATTGAAGCATCAAAAGTGATGTGACATACCGAACGTAACCTTCCATTTTTCGCATTAACTTTTAGTAAACAATTTTTGGCGTACTTGAATGCTTGATCAGATAAAAATCTGACATCCAACTCGGGTAAACGATCATTAAAGAAATGATTTGTAAAATGATCATATTCTATTATATGATCGAAATAAGAAAATGCCTCATCTTGTTCCTGTTTTCCAATTGGATCAACAATTAAACAATTCCAAATTACATCAGTCTGAGCTGTAGAGGTAAAGAATGGAATAGTTTCATAGTTTGCAACCCATTGTAAGAATTGCAAACGCGAAATCAACTGATCTCTTAATATTGCTGCTTTTGAAGGAGAGAGTGAAATCGTCGATGAAGCAGTAATTGGTGAATTACGATCTTTCAAATATATAAAAATACATCAATTAATTTATAAAATATAGAATTCAGAAATTAAATGACGAAAAAACGTATTGTTTTGAGTTGGAGTCCTCACCAAGATCCATGCTAAATGAACTATAACTCCTCTCAGCACAAGCCTTTACAGTTTTCGTCCAATGCTCTAAATCATTCAAAAATAACCGTGGAAGATTCACTTCAGTTATTAAACGTTGAAGATATTCACTTGTAGTTGTGGGCGGATTGGGGAATGGAGGAGCTATATAATATATAAAAGAGAATTGTATTAATATGATATCAAAAATAAATTAATCTAGCATTATATTTATGAGCATACAAATGATCCTAGTTAATATTCTTAGGGCCCATACTGTTCCCGGATCATGCTTCTTCAAACAATCGATGCACATATTTAAAAGTGCATTACGATCTTCCTGGCGAGTATCACCCTGAAGCAAGTCTGTTAGAACAGCACAAGCATTTTGTGTAATTTCTGGATCAATCGTCGATATAGATGAAGTCGAAGAAGATCCAATTGTTGGTGATAACACATCAGCATTCATTAATACCGGTACAGGAATAGAAGAATCACAGAGTATACGCCATAATATTCGATGAGCTTCAAAAGAAATATATTGTCCCATAATCTTTAATTGGGGTACATTTAAATCAAGTTAAAATTATATCGCAACGTTTGTCAAAACATTTTTTTTAAAAAAAAATAAAAACAAAAATACCATTCCCCCTACTCTTACACAGGACATTGTAGATTGTACCAATGTTCTTATTAATAGATATGTTTGCGTTTCAATAAAACTCATGGGCATTTTCATTAGCTTTTGAAACAAATAATTTCTTTGATCCTGATTCAATGAATCTGAAATATCAATTAGTACTTGACAAACGCCATGAATTATGCTACGATGTTGATTCCCGTCAATTGGGGACCAAACAATATCCAACTCATGAGTTGTTAATGTACGAGTATGTATCATAAAATTTAAAATATCAGTACACCGTTGCACAATTTCCAAATGGATATTAGATCCAAATATGTATTCTAGGATTGCATATTCCTGCAATTTTTCATTAAGCACACTAAAATGATATCATTTAATTATTATCCATATTGAATAATAAACTTTAAATACGAAAAAAGTATTTCCGATAACAATAAATAATTAAATACCGATGGATTTTATCAGAAGGATTTTCTTCATCCATTTGAATAACATCGTCTTCGCCATCGACGCTTAAACTTCTTTTCCGAGCATTTCCTCTACGCTTACTCTTTTTAAGTACTCTTGCTTGTTTTAAACCTAAAATAAGAGCTTCTTTAATTTCATTTAAACCTGATAACCGCAAGTCTAATCTTGAAGTCTTCAATAAACGAGCTGCTATATCAATTTTTAATTGAGCACTCTTAATAACTTGTTGCTCATCAGGTACTTCCTGATATAATATATAATCACTATCATCATCGTCATCTTCATCTGATGATATCATTGGATGATAGTTTCTTTCAATATCTCTAACTGTACCAGTAACGGATGAAGGCAAATTTAATATCATGGAAGTAACCATGTGAACAATATTAGGGATTAATTTTTTATCTTGACGGACGAGCCATTCTTCAGGTATGTTTATAATTTGATCATATACACAATTTGCAACTTTCATTACAAATTGTCTAAAGTCAACATTATTCGGAACGTATGGGCCAATCTAATAAAAAAATATTTAACATGTATAAAAACATAATTATTTAAAATAAAGTATAAACAAAATACCTTATGAATCATTCTTATTACACCATGAACGTCTTTCAAATCAAGGTTGTTAAAGCGATGAGTACTGGTTCGTATCGGACGCGTCGTCTCATCGACATAACCGAGAGCTCGAAGAACCGCATCCAATCCACCATTACTGACGAACGTATTTATTGCTTCGTATTGGTACTGGGATATACGTGGTTCCAACTTTGGAATTGGGAACAGGTACCAAGCATACATGAAAGGCTTTATCAGCACAAATTACTAACGAGAAACCATCTTAAATTGATAAAATCTTCATTGATTTCTCTTGAACCTGTTCCATTGCAATTATATCACTTGAATCATCGTATTCGCCAATCTAAATAAAGTCAGCAATTAAGATAAACCAATTAGCTTATTATTTATTTTATAAGTTTAGGCCTGTTCTGCAAGATTTCAAAATATATCAATATTTTTGAAATCATCCAGCCCACAAACCTCATCAGCATCACCAACTATTCCAAACATGACTGAATTTACACCTACATCTAATCGCCTTGAATCGAATCGGCTATCAAACCTACGATAAAACGTAGCATTTTCATCTCCTAATATGCGAGACACTGCATCTTGCATATGTTCTGAAAGAGGAAATTCTTCATCGTTTACGTTCATTAATTCTGGTTCTTCAATAAGACGAATAGCAATTTGGAGAACCTTTGTTAGAAATGATTGAATTGTATTCGCAATAGTATTTGCTTGGACAGGAGCTACAGTGGTGTAACTTTTTTTTTAAAAAAAGTTACAACAATGAACCATATTGATGAAATAATATTTAGTATAGTTGTTAAAAAAATAAAATTAAAAATAATATACAATAAATAATGAGTTAAGATAACAGTAAAAATAAAACAGTTCTCAAAAGTTTTTCCAAAAATAATATAAATACCCTCGAGTTAGTAAAACAATTGTAAATTTTGGAAACCATTCTCTATACACTAAATCAATGACATAACGAGAGTCCAAACTATTGCGAGAGATAATTATGTCTCCAAAATCGATAAATTTATTGAGTGTTTTGCAAGGATTTGCTAATAAAGTTTCAATAATATTATTAATACATAAATTATATTATAAAAAAAAAATTATATAAATAGCAAATAAAACAACAGTAATGATAATCAAAATCATAAAAATAATAACACAAACGTTCTTTCAATTGACTAACATATTCATCATAATTAATGGTATTGTCTTCATCCTTTGTTCCACGCCTTCGTGAACCAGTAGCTGAGGTCTGTGAATGCCTTCTTCGCTGACCGGTTTCACTATCGTCGTCAAGATCATCAGATACATAGTCTTCATCTTCGGAAGATGAAGTAATACGCCGATGATCTTTACGACTATTACGACCACGATGGGAGGAATGCTGTTGCCTAGATGTTTCTGAAGCCAAAGCAACACGTTTCTTTGGATGTTGTTCATGATCTCGACGGGACACACGTGTAATTGGTTTGGTTAATACAACATCATCGTCATGACCATCGTATTCTTCAACTATTTCTTCATCAATATCCTCAATATCGTCGTCTTCGTCGTCATCTTCATCTTCATCTAACTCATCATCATCGCTACTACTCTCTGGTTTAGTAGGTTGACGACCAATAATTTCTTCACTCTTTTCTGATAAGTTTTCTTTCTCGCTGTTTGCCGCATCCAAATCATCTTCAATTATTACCACATTCTCTATTTCTGTTTCAATATCTTCATTTTTCTCCAAAGTTTGTTTTCCGTCTCCCACTTTCATGTCAATAAACTCTTCCTGATCACGGGGTTCCCAGACTACGGGTAGCTTTTGTGACATGGCTTAAGGATTGAGTGTAAAAAAAAAAATTAAAAAAATAAGAGATCGTGCTGTCAAATTACAACCGAGTTGGCTATAAATTTATAATATATAACAGAGTCTTGATCGTTTCACAAGATCTAGGGACAGTAAACAAAACCACGCGTTGTGTGTGAAAGTATGTATACAAAATATGAAAACGAAGTGCTGTCCGCAATCAATGAATGCGGTTGTAGACTTTGCGTTACTGAAAAGTGTATATCCCGAATTCAAATACACGGAGCAGCCTACGATTCAACTGAATGGAAATCGCGTTACCCTCCAAAACCAATAGGCCCGAGAGTTAAAATAAAAAAAAAAAGGTATTAAAAGCCACTCGTTTAATAAAGGGAGAAGGGATAACTGCCAATTCCGGCGAACTTTGATATTTTTATTACAGTACTAAAAAAATCCTGTGATACATTAGACGAATAGTTTTATGACGAAATTCAAACCCGCAGTTCCTTTAACGTGGGAATATCTTTGAAGAATTATTGGCTAAACACATCACTATTATTTAACTTGAAAAGTAAATTCATTTTTTTTCGTAGTCAGCCATAAATCTATTACTAAGCTGTTCTTACTATATCCTTACTATATCCATTAATAGATTGATTAGCAAGCTTGCTTTGTTACACGGCTTCTATAAAAAAATTATATCTTCTTTATTTTTGAATTTTTAAATATTTATTAATTTATAATATTATTAATTGATAGTATAATATTATTTAATTTATAATATTATTAAAAATTAAAATTAAAATTTATAATGTTAAAATATAATCTAATCTAATTCTTAAAATAACAAATTTTTAATATTTAATTAATCAAATATAGGATAAGTGATATGAAAATGAATCAAATTGTAAAAAAACTTTTTTAAAATAAATAAAGTTCTAAATCAAACAATAAAAATTACTTCTAATTCTCTTAGAAATAAATTTTTAAAAAATTTTTAATTTGATTCTTTTTTATAGTATTCACTTTATATGCTTGTTAACCAATTAAATCTTTAAAAAATTTATAATGAAGTTGAAATCCAGATCTTAGAATTCATTATATTAAGAATTGATTGTATAGTATATTTTACATAAAACTATCAAGTATTTATTATATGTTTCAAATTTCAAAAATTTTATAGTCATGTAATAAGCATATTACCAATTTGTGATTAGCTAAAATTTTAGTCAAATGATAATATAATTAAACAAAACTTAGTTTAAAAACATTATTTTATTAACTCATCAATATTTTCAAAAACAAAATCTGAAACAATTCTATGTAATTTATATTTTTTTAAACATATATAGCTTGTAAAACTATTAATTCTTTTTATTCATTAGATTATAGGGTTTTACAAGTAAATTTACCTATAAATTCTCTTCTGATTTACTTTTATAAATAATTAATATTTTTATTTTATTTTTTTTTTAAATTAAATTATATAAATATATAATATATTTTAATATGTTTTATATTTTAATTATATAATAATAAATTTAATATTACTTAAAAGTTAAAAATTTGTAATTTTCAAAAAAATTTATTTTAAAAAATTTTATGATTAATCTATAATAAACTTTTTAGAATTTAATTTTAACTATATTAATTATAATAGAATATTATAAAATTACTTATAAAAAAAACTTTTATTATTATAATTTTTATAATTTATTAAAAAGTTTTATAACTTTAATTAATAATAAAGTGATTCAATTAGTATATAAACATAGCATAGCAGACTTTCTGATTTTCGAATAATCACATGATGATCGACATATATATTGTTTTTTTACTTTATAATAA